TCAGTGATTTTAACGAATTCGTTCGATCGATCGAATTAAACGTCGAAACGTTGAAATTAAATTATATCTCGCTTAAATTCTCAATACGATTCTTTCTGAAAATCGAAAAAAATTTCGAGTTAAACATCTAAACTATGTGATTTAATCGTGAAAATAATACTACTTTCCCAAACTAAACATCGTTACCTCTCCCTTCCTTCGCTCAATTTTCTTGCAGGAAAACAACGTAACGAATGTTTGGATTGCTTTCGATTATCGTTAAGCTTCGATACGATTGCTCTTCTCCTGCCTCGATTACCCGCCGTGTTTCCAAGAGGTTCTCTCTCTCTCTCTCTCTCTCTCCATTTTTATTCCTTCTCGGTTTAATCCGATCGGCCGATCGAGATTGTCGCCGATGTGTCAATCGAGGAAAGCAGTTCGCTTAAAAATTCAAACAATTCGAATTAATCTTTGCTCGAAATATCGTGCTCCAATTATATGAAATTATACTTACTTGCTCGTGAAAAGAACAAATATCTTCGAAAAAGAGTAATCGTTATATAATGATAACTGCAACTTCCTTTAATTACACTTGAAATCAATTTGAGATTAATGATGTGCAATATTGCGCTGTATGAAGAATCAATTAATTGGGAAGAAAGAAGTTCGTATTTTTTTCCAGGAGAAGTGGACAAGATTCGATTATAAAAATAGAATCGTATCGAATCGAATTAGGCCTTGATATTAATCGAGAAAATAAAAGGGAGAATAAAAATGAGAAGAGGTTTCGAAATATTCGAAGAATGACAGGATGACATTCTTTAAACTCGAAAGATTCGTTGCTTTCGCTTTCGTTGAACAATTCGGTTCAAAGAAAGAGAGAAATAGTACGCACGTTATCGAATCAGGATGCAATGCAATGCACTTGTGCGATTGTTAAATTGGGTCAAGGGGGATTGCATGGCGTACTTGATTCTCGATCTGCATAAAGCATCGTAAGGTTTCTCTATCAAGGCAGCTGAACTGATCACATTACACCGAACCTCCTCTACTAGGTTACTCTACTATTCCAGTGAAACTATGTAGAATAGTGTAGATACATTCTCTGGACACGTTTTTTTTTTTTCAGAATCGATATGATTCTAGAGACGAGAACAAATGTAAGAAATGTAAAAATTACTTCTTATTTATTTGAGTTTGCATTGGATGAAGCGAGACGGAGGATAGGGCAAGAATATAGTGTAAGAGAGATGGAAAGAGAATGTTTCACTTCATTTGTCGTTACTCGGTCTCTTTAGATGTCGATCTATCAAAGTTCCAGGAATATATCAAAATTCTGTCAACAATTGAACGAAGGATTATTACAGAAATTTTAAAAGCATAAAGAAAATTTTTCAAAATTTTTAAATCGATTTCTGTACACGATCGATGCAAAGAAGAGGTTAAACGAGGATAATTTAATTGCATCCAGGATCTTATCTAGTCTTTCTACTTCGTTTGCTGCTTGCGTGGAGTGTTGGGTAAAATAGTTGAATACAAAAACGTTATCTGGTTACGCTTCGTTAAACATCTTCGACATTCATTATAATCCGAAAGATCTTTACGCGTGGCTATCGATGCGATATCGCGTAGAAACAGATAAGAAAAAATCTCTCCCTTCCCTTCTCATTTTTCGTTTTCGATTTGTCCAAAATCGAATCGTAGAGAAATAATTCGAAGGATCTAATTTCTAAAATTTCCACCTAGTTATATCATAATTTTTATCGAGGTAAAGTATCAATCGACTCGTTCGAGTCGAAGAAAAAGTTTTTTAACGACAACATGATACAAAGATATCATCAACTCGCGTTATATAAGAAAATTAAGATGAAATATCAAGATAATATATTGTTCAAAGAAAGGATAGAGCCGCGAAATTAATGTATTACGAGCTGGTTAATTACATTACATGGGATGTGTTAATGAAAATAAGTAAGCATCGTAGTAATGCGGGGCAAATTCTGTTATAAATTTTATACCCTTCCTCCCATAAAAGTTTTGGTGGATGGCTTTTCCTGTTCCCTTCAGCAATGAACCAGCACACATCTTGAAACTTTATTTTTGTCGGCATTGACTAGGCGTGAAAATTTACGGGAGTATCAACTTCTGAACTTGAACGCCAGCGACGAAACTTTCCAATAAGTAATAGAACCGAGACGAACTCGTAAATAATCTTCTCCAACGTTTTAAAGTAAAATGTGTTGAAATTCTTCCAATTTGATTGTTAATACAAATTTCTTTTTCCCCACGTTTTAAAGTAAAAGTGTTGAAATTCTTCCAATTTGATTGTTAATACAAATTTCTTTTTCCCCACGTTTTAAAGTAAAAGTGTTGAAATTCTTCCAATTTGATTGTTAATACAAATTCTTTTTCCCCGCGAATTAGTCTTTCGAACTCGACAAGAGATTTTACTCACAAAAAGAAATATGCTGATTGAGAGAATTGGTTGAATAATAAAGTGGAACGAAAAATTGTTCGACGAATTTATGCAAAAGTGGAACAAGTTGGTAGAAGAAGTTTTAGAGAGTTTATGATTTAGAGTATAATTCGTGTAACCATCAGAGAGAATATTCATGAGGAAGTATTATAAATGTATATTTATACGCGTTGATACTCTGAAATATAATAATGACGTTTCAAACTTTCGTTCGAGATTTTTAAAATTAAAAAAATATGAAAAGTTATAAACTGTGATTACAAATATACATGCAATGTATAACCCCCTGAAATGAAGAACAATGTGAATCTTTTCTCTTTCGAATTCTATGCTTTATACCTTGAAATAAAATCTATATCTATAAAAATTCGAAAATAAAAGAATTCGCGCGAAAAGACATAAATTTTGGATCTAGAAATTTCTCGTCTTTCTAAATCGAGGTTACATCGAAGATAAAAATCAAAGGATTTACGGCATTCTGTTGTCCTATGGGAACGAATTTTATTTACAGCCAAAACTTGGATGTAACCAATCCGAATTCGTTGAATATAAAAAAAAAAAAAAAAAAAAAAAAAACTAAACAATACAAGCTTGAATCTCGAAATAGAAAATTTTCCCAAAACCTTTGCTTCAGAAAGGAGAAAAAGAAAAATTACGATTAATTAAAAAGAAAATCTCGCGAGGGGAAAAATTGTATGACAAACGTAAAAGAAAACGTGTTTGACGGATGATTGAAAAGACGTTATAAATTTTATAAATAGCCGGTGAAATTGTGCGATTGATCCATTTGTATATTCATGAATGCGCAGGTTCAAAGGTTACACGAGAGAAACACGTTCGCTAGATTTCGATTAAAGCGAATTGGACTTTCGATTTTTATATATTCGAGAATTAACGTGTATAATAAATTTTATCGATTCTTGCAACAATTTGGAAACATCAGCAGAAATATCTGATACAAATTTTTGATAGAGAAATTTTGAGAATTCGAAGTATGTCGCAGCAATGAATTGAATTTTCTAAATTATAATTTACTGATGCAAAATTGTTTCTGTTAATTTTTATTTCAGTGTAGAAAAAAAATAAAGTTCAAATGCGAAAGGCAAACGCTATGATGCAAACGTCATTAAAAAATTATTGCGTCCCTTGATATTTTATTTACAAAGAAATAAAAGTTATGGAAAAATATATCTTCGATCTGATCAGTATTTTGTAACTGTAAAAATTCGATAAAGAATTAAGGAGGGATGACTTGGCGGGTATCGATTTTCTTTCAATTTAAAAAAGACCTGATTGATGAAGAATATTAAAAGAACCGAAGGATAATCTGCAAAGTTTCGAAGAAAACTTTTGTTCCAAAGAAATCTCATTTGATAAATCGTAACAGAAACAAATTAACAAAAAGGAATAATAAGGAAGAAAGGAGTGTTGCACAGACGTAGCTGTAACGGAAAACTGTTTATAAGCATGGAACAGACATGCCATTATGGTGGAACACCTGTGTATCCACTTTACTCTATCCCGTACATATTATGGAATGCTAAAAAATAAAAGTTAAAATATCCATCTAGATACACGTATGTGCAGCTCGAAAACGTGTATCAATATATCGTTATATGCATTTTGCTACACCAGACTCTCTCTCGTGCAATATTTATCAACCGTTATCCGAGTTTATTAAGTTTCGAGAAAAAAAGGAAAAATCAACGTGCGCCGTTTTTATCCTTTCACGCGTGTTTATAAAATAGTTTTATAAAACACGCGTTTTAAAAATTATCATTTTTATTCGAATCAAAACGAACGATATAAATTTCGAAATTCCAAAGAAATTTCGTTTCGAGAAATCCACTCGATCGCACCGACGATCCAACAATTTATATATTAAATTCAATATATTATATACATAAACGGGACGAAGTGAACGGAATAAGAGAAAGAAAAGGATTCAAAGAATTAAAGAATTCGATTCAATTTTTAATCAGAGAAGCGACGATGCTGATGTTTAAAAGTGAAAAGCGGGGGCAAGAAAAATGTAATCAATATTCTTCGCGTTACACGTTGAACGCGTTCCACAAGATGATAAATATTCATTGCGTGGGATGAAAGGAAATTCGATGATATTGGCGGGCGAGATGCGGAATGCAGAGACAGCCAAAGGGATCGTCGTAACGTGTGCGTGTGCACTAGACGTTGATTTGCATACAACCAGTCCTCGCATATAATATCCGGAGGGCGTGCAGGTGTTAATCCTTTTACCTTTATACCCCGCCACACCTTTCCATCCACGAAATAAATTTGAAAATTTCCCACAAAATTGAAATTATCGTCCAACGAGCTACTGCACGCTCGTTTCGTGTCATGGAGAGCAAAGAAGAGGAGGAGATGGTTGAACGATGGACGATGGAAAATAATGTTGTGAATTTGAAAATTTCCCACAAAATTGAAATTATCGTGGCTAATCGAGCTTCTGCACGCTCGTTTCGTAGGACGGAGAGCGAAGAAGGAGGAGGAGATGGTTGAACGATGGAAAATAACGTTGTTACAGGCTCGGCGATCGAAAAATTATGCGAGTGCGCGACGGAGGACAGCCTAGCTGACCGAGGCTCCGTCGTGAGGGCTGCGAGATGCCTTCTGGGCTCCGTGACCAAGGTCCTCCTTCTGGCCGACATCGTTGTGGTGAAGCAGCTTCTCCTCGCCAAGAAGAAGGTTGCCCGCAGCCTCGGCCGCCTCGAAAGCGTTTCCAACTTCACCGAATTCGTCAAGGCTTTCAGCCAGTTCGGGGCGGAAATGGTGGAATTGGCGCATTTGACGGGTGATCGCCAAGTAAGTGGTTCCGTTTCCCAATTTTCTTTCGTTCGTTTCGTTTCGTTTCGACTCAAGCTTTTTATATTTTAATATTTCATATGTGTCCATTTGCGAATTTATTCATTATTCAGAAGAAATCAAGTATTAATTAAGGTATTTGTCGCAGTTTTGAGAATCATCTCTCGAGTGTTAAAAGGGTTTTAATCTCATTTAAAAAGTTTAATTACGCGTTAAAACATTCATTCGAATGAAATGCTCGCAAATGAAAGTGATTATTTTGAACATTGTTGAATACTTTGTGTTTATTATATTTAAAATATTAGAATGG